TCAGGGTGTCAGTGAGGGAGTGAGTGGTCAGTCAGGGTGTCAGTGTGGGTGTGAGTGGTCAGTCAGGGTGTCAGTGAGCGAGTGAGTGGTCAGTGTGGGTGTGAATCAGGGTGTCAGGGTGTGAGCCTCTCACCGCCTGTGTGTAGGCACTGTAGGCCCCGAAGTGCAGAGTCATGGGGCTGAACACGCCCAGCTGACTGGCCACCTGCTGCATCCTCCTCAGACCTCGCTCCTTCTCCGTGTCCGCAAACTTCACCACCAGGCTGGAGGAGGCGCCCTGGACACACCGACACACAGAGAGGACCGGCTCACTGACCACAGCCTGGACACAGACAGACCTGGCTGTCCACAGAGGACAGGCTCGCTGACCACAGCCTGGACACAGACAGACCTGGCTGTCCACAGAGGACCGGCTCACTGACCACAGCCTGGCCATAGAAACTGGACAGTGGTCCGGAGAGGAGGGAGGGAGACAGGGGAGAAAGGAGAGACACAGACAGGGAGAAAGGGACACAGCAGTGGTCAGCGCTCCTCACCGGCAGTGTCCGGCTCCCGTGCAGTGAGCTGATGGCGGCCTGGGCCTCTGCATGGGTCTGGAACTTCACGAACGCACACCCTGGAGAGAGAGTGAGCAGGGGTGAGCAGGGGAGTAAGTGGGGGTGAGAAGGGGTGAGTGGAGGTGAGCAGGAGGGGTGAACGGGGGTGAGCAGGGGGAGAACTGAGGTGAGCTGGGGTGAGCAGGGGGTGAGCCGGGGGGATGGGTCAGGTGAGCGGGGGTGAGCAGGGGTGAGCAGCGTGGGGAACCCCAAGTCTCACACCTTTGCTGGGGGGTGAGCAGGGGTGAGCAGGGGGTGAGCCGGGGGGGTGGGTCAGGTGAGCGGGGGTGAGCAGGGGTGAGCAGCGTGGGGAACCCCAAGTCTCACACCTTTGCTGGTGCCGTCGGGGCCCCTCAGGACTGTGCACTCATCTATGGTCCCGAAGGGCTCAAACATCTTCCTCACATCTTCATCCGTCTGCTGCTTCCCCAGCATCCCCACAAAGAGCTTCCGGTCTTCTGTGAGAGACAGGGAGCAGGGGGAGAGGAGAGAGGAGAGAGG